TGAAAATGGAGAATCGTAGCTATCCTTCAAGCCAGTGAGTTGATGCATATTTCAAAGACATATTTGTAAGACTATACACGTGACACCGTTGAAATATATCTCCTTTAACTTTTGAAAAATTATCATTTTCATCCCCTATTTTTCATCTCTACCTGTTTATCTATTTTATAAATTCACCGTTAAAATAATGCTTATTTGTCGGATATTTTTCATGAAACCATAATTGGCGTTATCTTTTAGTTTTAGGAATATTTTTTATGAATTTCGCCAAAACAGGTGATGAAATAAAAATCATGGCTCAGTTACTTATTGAAATGGTCATCACCAGGTGTCTATAATAATTCAGTACAGTACCTCAAATGATGGGTGTAAATTAAGCAAGTAACGAAGTCTGTTTCTCGCGCCTGAAAATATTCTCATTTCATCGACTTCCGTACACACTTTTCACCTGCCATTGCCACTTTTTTCCATCAGTGAGCTACGGGCCGATAGACCAAACTAACGCCTACATATTTTATCTGACAACATCTCTTTGGGAGCGATAAAAATTTCAACTTTTCACGTACGACACCTGCTGGACTATGAAGGTGCCACACGCCCTCGTTGAAAAACTTGAAATTCTTTTCATATATATTAAATGTGACTCATTAATTATTTATTGTCAAGGCCTAGAATTTATCGAATAAAATAAATAAAATTCGTCGCAGACATTTTTTTTGAGAATTCAAATAATTTTGCTTGATATTTTGCTACATGCCCGGGGACATCACGAAATCATAAACTTTCAGTTGAAAAAAACTCTATCCTTATCCTATATAGATAGACCGACCACCTGTCGTGACGGTAAGATTGGAGGACTCGTGTCCTCGGCCATTTTCGGTGATTTTCGGCGATTTTTAAAGTGCCTCGGTAAAAGGGCGCCCTCGACTTTAAAGGATTCGCCATATGGCTATCCTAGGGATAGAATCAAGCATCCTTCGGGGAAAAAGGGGCCCATTTATTTGGCGCGTGCTGTATAATTAACGAGTCGAGAGAGCGAGTCTGGCCCCATTTCACATCAAATTCTCTTTTTATTTCTCTCTGACCTTCGCTTTAAGAAATAATGAGACAGCAAGCCAATTTTTCAGTATAAAAATTAAGCCGGAAAATTCGAACATTTAAATAGAGAAATATTAATTTATAAATTATTTATTTGGCTGATATGGGGTGCCCCTTTCAGCGACTTTCCGGCCCCGGGATTTCATGTATAATTTCATAACTGTCTGGTTTCATTGGCAAAATCGTATGGCGTTTTCTCGGGCTTGACTATTGTCGCTTAGAATATTTTCCAAAAAAATAAATTAAAGTCAACGGTATAACCCCCTACCCCATTTTTTGTTTTCTTTCCACTGAGATTTCACTAATTGTAAGAATAGGTGAATCAATATATTTCTTTCGCAATATCTTAAAAGATACTGGCAAATATCCAAAAATAATGAATAAACCGTGAGAATGAAGAATTTGCTGACGAATGGAGAGGATACATATCCTTGTGCATCTGCCACGTGCCCCCACATTACGGCATAATGTGTCACTGTGCCACCGGCCCCTTTTCTCTTCCGTTCTCGAATCATAAAGAAGAATAAAGATAGACGTACAATATATACTACATAAAGTGAAAACGTAAACGCGTTTGCGCACACTCGTAACCACCCCCTTTGTGCACGTGGCAGCCGCGTGGAATCCTAGATTTTGGAAACCTCTAATTCAATGGCGGCAGCTGAATGCAGGTCTTGTCCCAAGGGGACAGCAACCTATTTTTTACATTTCAATTTTTTCCACAATCTAGTGACATTGAATTGATGCGTCGCGCTAAATCTGCGCGTGAGTCGTACAGTAAAAAATATAACTTACCTGGCAGGAATTCAAAAATCCGTCAATTCCTCACCTTAAAAGGTTTAATTAATAAATAAATAAATGCAAAGAAAAAAAAACACTTGAAAACGATTGAACAGCGACTCTTTAATAATAAAAATATGCTCGACGAGTGTCGAATCGAGAGACAATTGAATGCCCGTTTATACACTGATTCATTTAATTAAATTAATTTAAAATCGAGATACGCTTTTACAATTGCCTTCTTCTAGCCGGATGATTAGTTTGTCAGTTCAATTATGTAAAATTCACTTGAGAGAAAGTGAGAGAGAGAGAGAGAGAGAGAGAGAAAGAAAGACAGAATACGATCATTTCGATCGAATTATAAAAAATGTCCTCTTCTATAATTCACATTATTTTCATCATTTTTCTTTTTTTTTTTATTACTCCTGCTCGCTTATTCATAGGGATACCATGTAAAATCAGTCTTGTGGTTGAGATATATTAGGTGTCTGGTGAGGTAGTGTCAGTTTCATAGTATACATTTGTTTCATCATATTTGTTTTTACGTTAATTCTTCCATCTTAAATAACTTCCCTGTGCGCCATTGAAATTGTTGCTTGTTGCACGGTATCATCAGGCAGGTACAAAAAATAATAAAGGAAAATATATACTTTTTATATGGCGATAAAGTAAATTGTCATGATATATGTGACGATTGCATTATGTGTGCACTGAGCGGGAACAATTTACAATGGTTTCTCATTCATATTTTTCTATTTTTCGTAAGATCTGTTTTGTACCGCGTACTCATCGAGAATCAAATTACTTGAATATATGTCATTTTTCCTAAAGGAAAATTCGTTTAAAAATTATTAATCTCATTCATTGGTTACAGAGATATTTTTGTGGAAAAATTACATTCAATCAAATACTGAGATTCACGTTAAATATTGTACATTTACATTTTACTTACTGTACAAAATTATATAATTAAATTAGTTACACTCATTATACGATTCGATACACATTGTTAATTTGAAATTTCGCAGACAATAATCCATTGCTCTATTAATATGTCTTGTTGCAATATTACATTTTGGCAATTATGGTTCCCCTCTTTTTCTTACATTCAAGTAAATTGATAACTTCCTGCTTTCACGACGTCTAAACTATTTAATAATGATAATATACATTTCTCATCATTTCGAATTATCCAAGAGACAACAATAATGATTTACATGACATTGGGACACGTGACGAACTTGAAAAACTTAATTAAGCTCATCGATAATTTACATAAATTTCATTATTACGGAAATTACTGTAACAGATTATGGCAAATGCATTCTCTTTAGGAACTAGTATTTTATTTTTTAAATGAATTGATACAAGTTTAAATTTCATAAAAGCCCACTAATTATTCAACAATAGAAATAAAAACATATTCCCTCATCGTGGATTCAACTGGTTCTAATGAAAAAGAAATAAAAAATCTACACCACCAGGAAAGAAAGAAAATTCGTTAGGAATTATGTTTGATTCATAATGAAAACCCGTGCAAAAAAATGATAGAAAGGATGCTGGTTTTGCAAGACCCCGGGACATAGACCAGTACAAACCACTATAGTATACCATTTGGCTATTCTTCCGCGGGAATCATTCACAATCGCCTCTGCATTCAAATATTTTTTTCTCTCAACTCGTCTTTTTGACTTTGGAGAGGCCGAGGTTGGACCTTAATCCCCTCACAGGTTACAATTTTTTAGTGGCAATTTTTGGCTTGAGAGAAACATGCAAAGAAAATTTTGAAGATGTACGATGTGCTTTGTCGGTCAAATCGTACACGTGGTGGCTGATAGGGGATATGCTTCATCAAAGAATAGAATTGTCGATACTCGAATATAATCGAATATAAGTATCACAATTAAATCCGGAATTTCTATGGAAAAAAAAACTTTGAAAGAGCTAGACCTACTCCTCTAATCCTCGAACAAATTCGAAAAAGAATTTTCCACGACTATTATTCTCCCATATTTACCCCTGAAAGAAACCCCCCCGGTAAATAACAATTTATAAACGCCATGTCCCGACAGCGAAAAATCTTGAAGAAAAATAAACGTAAATAAATCTTGATGGAGTTCGATCGAGCGTAAGAGGTCCGAGAGTAGCATCAAACAAGAAACATATCTTTGGCACACGCCATTGTCATCACCGAGAGTGCATCCACGTCAATGGACGAAGTGAAACGTGCAAAGAGGTAGCAACGTGGCTAACGGGCCCCAAGGAACGAAGAAAGAAAAAAAAAAGTGAAAACCAAGGAGAAGCAAAAAAAAAAAGGGACTCGAGGTCTGGTGGACACCCTTGGATACCTCCTGGGCGAAACTCGAGCGTTCAAAATGGCCTGAGGAAGGAAACGAGGGCAATTTCAAGATTTTGTGAACGACATTTGCACAAACGATTGTACTGTCTCTTTGTCGGCTACACGGAGGTCCAGGGATGCCCGAGAGAAGGGAGAGTGACGAATATTACCTCAGCATTTAAAGGGAGAGCGGGGGACAATGCACTGGAGGTCGAAAACTCAAGGTTCACTCTACAAAATTTGCATGACGAGACATAAATCAGAAACGCGTTTGAGAGGGCTAACGAAGGAAGACCCCTGCGTGTGTGGTACAGTGGCTTTTCAGCCTCTCAACTGCTTTTTCACTTTGAAAAATACCTTTTTTTTTTCACTTTTTCTTTGTCTTTTTCATGAGTGAAACTGGTTCGACTCGACTTCTGGCTTTTTTTTTATCGTTTATTTTTTCAGCGTCACCATCCACAGAGTGCAAAATAATGGCTCTAATTTTGGACAAATTTGTGATTTCATCTCAAAAGAGAATGACTAGTTATATTCTGACAATCCACTCAAATTCTCCTTCGCCTTAATCTTCTACATGACTTCCCATCCATCTCAAACCAATTTCAAAGACATGGAAAAATTTCATTCCCACTCAATTCCACTCAACTTGTCATAAAAATAAAGTCGGTTGTCATAGGTGTAAAGAGGTATCTGTAAAAGTCAGGTCAATCGAAAAATTCGTATCGTTTTTTGAATTTTGGTAAATTTGTACATGTATTTAACAATTTTCATTTTGTTTTGGCATTTTACAGATTCATTGAGGAAGAAAAAATAATAGTAAAAAAATTATATAAATCAATAACAGCGTGGCAGCCACAAGCCATGGGGTAATGAAAAAATAAATATACATTGGTATCGAGTGAAATATATACACATCAAAAATCAAAATTCAACTCCTAGACTAAATATTGGAAAAAAAAAGTGGAGCTATTTGCATGGTGCGAAATATGCCATTTCATATCGCTCCCTATTCTGTGACTCTCCGGTCATTATCTGTGTTATTTGAGGGACTTGCACACAAGTTAAACTCATCCTCATCTCTCACAAATTTCTGTAATTTCCGATAGAAGAAAAAAAAAATTTAATCACACTAACTACAACGACTAAACTTAATATTTATATATATGTGTATATATATATATATATATATAATATAGGCTTTCCTCGCTATTAATCTTTCTTTTTCATTTTCAATACCACTATTTACACCGAAATACGAATTTCTACCTAATAATTCAGACTGGACGACAGAAAACTCTCCAATTCCGTATTTTTTTCTCTATATTTTAAAACCATCTTTCTGCACCCCAATAAAATACTATCATATATGCATTATTTATAATAATATTAATCTATATCGACGCATCCCTGAATATTTTATTAGATCGTACGAGCAATAATAATGAAGCACTCTCATTAATATTGATCAAACAATATAAAAAGATGAATGAACTCTATTCATTCTTTTATCATCATCTACCGATTGAATTTTTAACGTGAAATTTCATCATCCAGTTCAACAGATTTTTCCGCTAATAAACTTGATAATAATACGCTGCTTCATCGAATAATCATTTCCAAAACATAATTACAATGGAAAAATGAATGTTAAATACGTAGTGAGTGTAAAGTGTTTCCCCTAATGTTTTGCCCAATGGAGAGACAAAAAATAAGAAGAAAAGTGAACACTACGTAGTTATCGTCTACGTACCTACGCCCAACTATGATGGATTATTGGAGTCACTTTTAGCTAGATTAGCGAGATGAAGTCTGTATTCGTCGTGATGACGATGAAGGAAAAGTGTGCTTGGGCTTGCCTCTTTGACATCAAGCTCGTCATCCTCTTCCTCGTGGAGTGTATCACTGCTGGGACTTCTGCTCAGCGGTGAATCTCCACTGCTGTGACTGTGTGAAGAGGGTCTGTGCATTCCAGTGGACATTGACAAATCCTCCGGCTCAGTTTGTTCAGGAATGTTCATTGATACACTCGATAGATTCAATGGCATCTGCAGACTGTTTTCCAGACTGGGACTTGGCAAGGAGTGATGCAGTGCTCTGCGCCCTGTAACATTTGGCTTCTCATCAACTTCACCATCGATATCAATATCAATGTCCTCATCCAAATCATCGCTAACTGTTGAGGGTGATGCTATCTGGGAGACGCCGATAGTCGCAACACACTTGTGATGAAGCAAGTGGTGAGTCCTCCTAAATCTCTTTTGGCAGTGTGGACATTGAAGGGGTTTTTCGTTGGTGTGAATTAAGAGATGGGCTTTCAATTGATTCGAGTCACTGAATTTTTGAGCGCAAAATTCACAGGCGTATGGACGCTCGCCAGTATGGACACGAAGATGGCGACGGAGATTTGCTACTTGGACGAATTGACGATCACAGTGACTGCAGTGATATGGTTTTTCACCTGTATGGAGTCTCATGTGGGTTTTCAAGTGGTGGTCCCTGGTAAATCTATAACACAGTAATAATTCAACAATTAAACTAAGCTACCCTACAAAGAAGCAAACAAAACGAGGGATGAAGAATAAAAATGAACCTTTTATGGCATTCCGGGCATTCGAATGGTTTCTCTCCAGTGTGTGTACGTTCATGATTTTGCAGTACATGCTTGTACCCAAATGATCTCGAGCAAGTGCGACAGGTGAAAATCTTATCCTTGCTGTCCTTGACAGCCTCAGGACTGATTGACGCTGGTGGACTTGGTGGTGCTACAGCAGGTACACCTTCAACCATCGTTGGCAGACTCAAGTCTATTTTACTCTTGGGTCCACGTTTTTTACCCTGAGCCTTCTTATTTATCAACCTATCTGCACTACTGCTGACAATGTTGTTGTTGTTGCTGTTGCTATTGTTGTTGTTATTATTATTGCTGGTGCTGTTTGTACGTGAACGAGAGATGGATTTAGTGCTGAGGGCTGGTGAAATTGGACCATGCTGAAGGGGCGATGGAGGTGATGAGGCGGTTGGTGGCCAACCACCAAACAATGATTGCGTATGTGCATAAAGGGACGGGCTCGCTGCTGCCAAACTCGCGTGAAGTGATACGGGAATACCAGCGGCCATAAGTGCTGCTGTGTGACTTGCTGCCAATAATTGTTGGGGCGTTAGCATTGACAGTCCTGCTGCTGCTGCTGCCGCACCCATTCGAGGGAATAATGACACCGATGTGTTGTTGTTCAGTGGCGGCGACAGCGGCTGCCTTTCACTCTCCTGCTTCATGTCCAATTGTTGAGCTGTTAAGAGTCCTGCAAAATTGAAAACAAGAAAAAAAAACTAAATTAATTCAATAATCAGTGGATTTTTCCTTTTTTATCGAACGTGAGAAAAAATCACAAAGAATGACACGCGGAAAAAGGAAAAGGAGTTTTGCGTACGTTTGTCCTCCCATTCACCTACACGTAACCGCGTTTCATTCACGTAAACCCACGCGTCTAGTCTCGCCGCCAATGACTTATATCTCCGTGTCTTTTTCCGTCTTTCCGATACTTTTTCTATTACTCTCTCTCTCTCTCTCTCTCTCTCTCTCTTTATATTTTTTTTGCCGAATATTATTCTTTCTCTTTTTTTCTACAAAATTCGACTATTCTGGTGGTTTTGGACCCCTGATGAGACTTGCTCTTTACCTTCCATTCCAATTTTTTTTTTTGTGGTTGCCAACGGTGAAAATATTGAGAGGTCATGCGGGCATTAAAGACACTGGAATTCACGACTTTTGTGCATTTAAATGCACCACTGTGCTCCAATCGTTTAATTTCTTCTATAGTTTTTTTTCCCTTTGGGAGTACAAATTGCTGGCTCCTATTCTCAAGTCCATGAAATATATACTCTGCAGGTTAAACTAAATGTTATTTAAATTTTTGTTCTAGAATAGGTTTGCTCAGTGATTTTCAAAAAACCCATTGACTGCTTTTTCCCTATTCTTTCGTTTCTGGTTGTTTGTAAGGAGAAATGGAATAACGTGGACGGACCCAAACTTGAGTACCCTCTGAAAAAAATTTGCCATTTGATTTTTATTTTCCTCCTGACGAAGTACATTTTTCCTCCCCCGGTATACACATGTTTCGTCAAATCCACCTCCGCCTATATCTGAGAGAATTTTTATTTTTCAATGATTTGAGAGAATTTAGAGGCGAATTTAAGCTTAAGCCATACTTGTTGTGTTGACACGTGTGTCATAATAATCGATGATTATCAAAATTCGTTTAAAGTATGTAAACAATTGTCGCTTCTTAAACCTTTCTATTTCGTGTAAAATCAAATTTGCTCGGTGTATATTGTGATGAAATTCCACAATTCTTCTCTTTGTAAACAGAGAAATATTGAATATTGATAACGAATAATTGGAGGCTGATAGCCGTCGGACACCGATCTCAGTTCGAATTTAATACTGAAAATAATGATTACCTGCGTTAATTTGTGCCTCCTGCAGATAATCAAGTGCCATTCTATGATCCGTGTTTAAGGATTATCACTTGTTACACTCCATCCACTATTAATTAAGCACTAACCAATAGAACTCTTATTTTTTTCCTCGTATCAATACTCGTCAAAATATCACACGTATAAATATGACACGTTATTTTTTTCCTGTCAACTAAATGGTGTACAGATTCGAGTATTATACTTGGATAAACAAATTTAGATTTATTTATGGTTGTACACTTGTTCACTCAAAGTTCAACGAGATTTTTTTCTCTTTTTTTTCTTTTTTTTTCCAAAGATGTATCTATTTGCAATTGGCGGGGTAAACTGGTAACAAACGGATGAAATAAGATGAAAAAGTGAAAATAAATGAAAAAAACTCAAAAACTCAACTAGAATATAAAAAAAAAATGTATTAGCGTATTTGTCGAGTGGAAGGTTGAGGGTTGTTGGTTAGTGCACGAACACTCAGTGACTAAATGAACTGTCGAAAGAACGATGTGTCTACGGGCTGACCTAACCCAATACTAACTGACAGCCAACGCGCGCTTGTTGGAGTAGTCAAACATCCCCCACCCCTTGCCATCAACTATTTTCACGAGGAGTTTATCCCCACCACTGGCCAACTGCCAATCCGTTGGAGGCGTACGCCAACCCCTCGGCGCAGTTACCCTAAAAAGGGGGATCAACCCGGGGGACACAAGTAGTCCACCCCAGAAGATAAAAAAAGAGAAAAAATTGCCTCATGTGGTGGGGGTCAACCTGTTGGCCAATGGGCCGGGGGGGGAGGGGGAGGGAGACAACACAACAAGAGAAGTCTTCCCAACATTCACTTTCCTTCTTCACTCACCTTTCTTTTTTACTCTTCTTTCTTTACTTTTCAGTTTTTTCCACGAGGAAGTGAGTTGCATCGTACACTTTTTTTTTCGGGGGTTAACGGATCCTTCCCCAATCAAAAAAACTACTTTTCCTTCTTTACTCAACATTTCTCTCACACATTTCCTATTTTATATTATCCTTCTCCAATACAATTAGTCCAATATATTTTTCTACTAGGTACTAATTAATGAATAACGATAAATAATTGTTTTATTTAATAGCTATATAATGAATGCCAGCAAAATGATATAATGATTTATTTATAGAGATTTTGAGATGGGAGGAGAGAACGTGTGAGAACGAATGAACATTCGAAAAATACTCGAGAAAGAATGAAATGGAAACGCGTGTACCGGGATGAAAATAACAAACGATGAAGCAGAGGGGTCCACACACTCGCGGTAAAGTTTTTTAGGGTGGAAAAACGCGGGCTCACCTGCCCGCGGGGCGTGCGCTGCGCGTGCCTAAAAAAGAACTTGGAGGGGCCGAGGGAGGATATAATCCCCCTGACCCCCTTCTCTTCACCAAACTCCCATCTTTTTTTTTTTCATGATTGAGAAAAAAAATCCAGTTACTCGGAATTCCCATCCATTTCTCATTTTTCCAAAGCGTTTTTTTTATGCATCAGTTATATAGAATTTGATGATTTCGTGACTCCGAGAACCACAAGACTATTTAGCACGCGATCAATTATCACTTCAGCGAACCATACAAACACTTCGCTTGCCTTCTGTTGTACATTAAATGAGCTTAAAAAACTATAAAAATTAATTGACAGAGTAAAAATGAAAAAATTAGCCACCTAATATAGTGAACCTGTCGTAAAAAATGTGTGACACACCAACATTATTGACAATCATTACGACTTAACCCTTGGGCGTTTACAAAACGTGAAAGCGTGAAACGTCTACCTGCAGACATTTTGGGATACCATTGTTGTGTGCCCTGGCAACATCAACCCTTTTGGTTATATAGCTATATACCTGGGTTTGACTATACATGGTGTAAAAGGGTGAGCTACACTGGGTGTAACTATTCTTCACGTACAGTAACACCAGCTTGTGTGCAAGGTACTTGTGTCGAATCGTTATACAGATCCAGGAAATATTGTAACTTGAGTGGCGTTCACTATGCCATGCCCTAATCTATGCCTTTGACGTTTGACATTAATCCACAAACCGGAGGCGTAACATAATCTCCACTTTGGGACAAACATAATTATTGATACGCCGAATTTTCCAAATTCTACAAATAAAATATTATTCGTACTTCAATTTTATTCAATTGATTTTTTTTTTTTTACATTTCGACTGGAACGATTTTTCAACCAATTATTTGACAAATAATTTGATAATAAAGCAGTAAAATGATTGAGTCGAGGTTTCAAGGGGAAATATACTGTCTTTCCAGTTGAACAAATGTTCAATGGAGAAGGAAAAACGGTAAATTTTTGATTGCCTGCAATTAGTCAAGACAAATTGCTCCAGTTTCACTCAAAAGCAGACCCCACCCCATCGATGTGCATATCCTCCCCCACACCACCTCTCAACTAGCCTTTGGCTATGTCAAATCCCTGGGGAATAACCAGGACAGCATGGGTTCTCTGACTTTTATATTTTTATGGTAGTAATTATCAGCCACGAAATTTCTACCTGACTCTCTTTACACAGCTTCACTCCCTTAGCTTTGTATTTTCCATAAGAATATTTTTATTTTCACTAACTTTTGAATTTTCCCTTGACAATACATTTAATAGGTATAATAACCCAATTTTGGAGAAGTAAAAATATCATTTGATTGGTGGATTTTTTTTTCCAGCTGATTGATCGAGTAAATGCGACCAATTGTACACATTCGATCAATATTATTTGAGTTTGGACAATTTATGGTCACCGTACAGTTTGGATTTTATCGTTAACAAATACACTTGTTTCAACACTTGGAAAACTTATCTACCCTGAGCATTCAGCAGGTTATTATGTTGAAAATCTTCGAGACATGTCCACATTTTATTATTAGTAAATAGTTTTATTTGAACGGTGCGTACTATCGATAATCGCCTCTCCAAAATGGAACTCGTAAAATTATCGTCGGCTTAAGGCCCTGAATCTGTGATAAAAAAAAAAATATATATACGTACGGACAAAAATGGTTGGAGCCCACGGTTTCTTTTCTGTTTGTTTGCCCGTTATATAGTTTTAAGGGGATTTCAGTTGAACCTTCTCCCCCCTTTTATACTCGTGCTCCTTAAATAAACGTAATATTAGCGAATCTATTATTATTTTGTCGAAGAAGATCAGGTAGAAGTACAAGGTAGAAATTGAAATCGTTATCCCTAAATGCAAAAGGGAAAATGGTCGATTGAGTGAGTGAACAAAATGTCAATTAGTTGAAAAATTTTTCCCGTCCGACAAATGAGAATATGACTGGGAAGTAGAGGGTGTCAATAAGTCAACGGACCAAGGGGTTTGGGGGGGAGAGAGAGAGAGAGCCCAAAGTTCATTGCTTGTACAATTTATATTTGTTAAATTTTTGTAGGTCACAATGACACTGCAAGTCATATTTTTTGGAGTCGTTCATACCTGTCCTCTTTGGAAAAGATATTTGGAGGCGCAATAAAAATTAATATAATTTTAGCCGGTTTCAGTTGGGTTGTACAGTTTTAAGGGAAAATACAGGGCACTTATAGATGTTGTTGGTTTATTTTTATGTTGGATCTTTTGTAGCTTGGTAATTTGTCAAAGCTATTGGAATTTTTTGGAGGAGGGCTGCTAATCCAAAGCGCCGGAGTGTCAAAGCCTCCCTCACATGTGTTCAATTTTATCAACTAAAAACATAAATATCACATTATTTAATTCACTGAAGATATCTCGAAAAGAAGATTTTTTCTCATCTAAAATACCGTTCTGTTATTTATTTTTTTTTTTTTTCTCTTAGTTATACCAATGAATTGTAGCCAATCTTCCCTCAGATCTGACCATAGAATTTAGTCCAACCGTTGCAACTTTACCAAAAAAATTCTCCTCGACATTTTTTTCCCCTATGATGACCAACCAAAACAGAAAAATTCCCATTTTATAATTTTTTCTCAATACACAAGCAAATGACTGAATAATCTCATGTACGTCTGACTGACTTCATTCTACCTATGATGGACGTATGATCACGATTCAGGCTACAGATTTTGCCAGATGGTCCATGGCTGTTCGTTAAATCTATAAGAAATGCGGATCGATTTCATTTTTTCTTGAGAAAGAAAAAATTTCGATAAAGTGTATCAATGAGGAAATTTAGAGGAAAAAAAAAAGAGACTCGGATATTTCAATGGAAGTTGGTTGTGAGTAGTATTTCAAAGCTAGTTCAACGTTCTTTATTTTTTTGTCATTTTCTCATCTTGCTGTTGTAAGAAAAAGTGGAATAATCACCAAAAATTAAGAGTGACTTGGTGGGGAGGGGAAAAAAGAGAAGTCGACCACCTGGGATGGTAAGATGGATTGAAATAAAATAGCGAATGGAAAACAAAAGGGAAAGAAAAAAAAAACCCCATCGAGACATCGAACTCGTTAGCCAATCGTCTAATTATCAGAGGTATCATGGGCTATCCCTCCCTAACCGACTAGTCCTATAATAATACACGTATATATTGTGCATTAATTTTTAAGTCAGGAATAGAAGTTGCCCACTTGGCGAACATGTGGTGTGCGAATAGAACACAGAAAAAGAGAAGCATAGCCACTAGCCAGCATAGGCCCGACACCAGCTGGTCTAGGAGGAAGGACGTCCGCTTCATTATTTTAACCTTTTTCTCCTTTTTCTCGCTCTAGTAGTCAACTTTTAGACCTTGCTCGTACTAACGACTAATCTAAATTTGCCGCTTCTCTTTGAGACGTTCATATACTTCTCACATAGAGATTCCAATAAATACATTGCCTCAGTTTATTCATCCCACATCACTCACCCGTTTCTTCAATGTCCAACGCGAAATCCCCGTATTTAGATATTTTCTTGCCCTCCAGGTGCATCCCTCGGTCAAACACAAATATCCTCCATATTTTTTTCCTGTCTTGATTGTTTATTTTTGTATCTCGGTGATGAGAAGTGCGGACAGGGAATGATTTTATACACATTTCAATTCCATGCGCTTTAATCATCAGCTTAACAATGATGGAAAGAACATGACATAATTATTTAATATTTTTATTTACAGCACTAGTGTTGGAAGTGAAAGAGTCAAGTTCTCATCAAGACATTTGTTTATTTCGATGTGAAACAAATGCAATGACAAGTTTTATTGCTGACGAAATGGAAAATGGAAAAATTCATTGAGCTTTTTACATTTATTCGTAGGTTTGTTATTTTTTTAAACGTCCGCTTTAAGCCACAATATAAGACTGTATGTGCGGCGAACGTAACAAGAGTCTAACAGAGCTGTCAATCCTTGGATAAATTGAATAGCACCTCTCCACCTTTTCTCTCTTTCTCCCTGAGCTTTCCTAAATGGAGCAGGATTTTTCTCCTTTCTTTGCCTTCCTTGGGTAAAGTAAACGCGTTCGTTTCGTCTCTGCATCTGACGTACGATTCCACTCACCTTCACGTCCAAAGTGACCACGTATTTCCGGAGTAGCTTGCCA